TGCTGGCTTATTTTAACAGTTTACATATTATATCGAAGCAGTAAAAGAAGACAAAAGAACATGTATTCGCCAGTGTGAGCCAGAGAGTTCTTCCGTCGATAAGAATAGCGTTTACCTTGGGCTGATGAACTTTATTTGACTAAATTAAAAGCAATTTTTACTTGAGTTTCTACGTCGTCGTCAAACAGAGATAAGACGGAGACTTCATCTGTCAAATACCTTAAATGTTGGCAGAACTTTTGTAAAGCTGCATTTAAAATGGCTTTGTCAATTCTTACGTAAACCTTCATTGCCTTTGAAAGGCATAAGTCCTGGTTAGGTGCTTTTACCACGTGTGTTGTCATGATGAACAGGCAGGTATCTAACAGAGCTGACTTACCCTTTTTAGAAAGTTTGAGCTGGGAACGTAGTAACGCTATTTTTAATGAATAGATTCCGCCAAGGGATATTATTAAAAGTTATATTAATTCTCCGCGGCTGTGGAGCTTTCTTTTGTTCCGGTGGATATGGTATCATACGTATTTCTGCCGCGTCGCAGCATAGTGTTTAATCTTTGATCGCGCTGCCACGTCTGAAAAAGGGAGAGGTGGCGTTAACAGAAGCACTGCCGGAAGGGCAAGAAATAATGTCTATGGACTAATTCTATGAACCTGTTTGGCTCACTTTTTTCTCAGAGAGTCTATAGTTTGTTCTGAACATATAGTTAACTTACTTGATGCCATTTTTTTATTCTAACTTCGTGTGACACGCTTCAGCTTCAGTTAAGTGATAATTTCGTTCTAAAGCCAGAAAGTATCTCAAACGTCGACCGCTATAGAGAAAATAATGAAGGCTTCTTCATGACGACACGACTGGGCCTCTGTATAGATATTCAATTCGATGATAATTTTGCATTATGTGTCTTGTAATTGTCAGATATAGTCTAAATGGAAAGTAAAACAAGGAGTGCTGCTTTCGCGTATCATGCTTATTCGGGTGTGCAATAATTCATTTATTGCCTTTTCAAAATAATCACAAATTGATCTCCTTCAACGCACAAGGTAAAGATTAATCGCGACGTATTTAAAAGAACTAAAAAGACATACGCCTAAGATCAGTAGAATCAGTAGTTGGAAAAAACTAAAAAACATGCTTTAATAGTTTGGCATATATAATATGAATATTAGAATAACAAAAAAAAAACAATCAATTATAGTAAAAAAGCATGGGGTGCTTGATATCAAATGATATTACCTTTTAGTTGCTATTTACAAAATTGAAGTTATGGAAATATATTTAATTGCCCTCCATGCTTTTTTACTATAATTGATTTTTTTGTTAATATCTTAATTTTTATATTGATCTTATTGTAAATTAATCAGTCATACTTGATTCTTGCACTTTCTATTGTACAGGGTGCGGCAGAGAGGATGGACGGTTTTAAAAAAATCATAAAATAGTTAATTTTTACACGAAAACAAATTTATTGATGGAATCAGGTTCACAAGGAAATAGCATTTGAGACAGTGAAGTGTGGAAAATCACATCAGGCATGTGGTGACCGAAATCGTTGATGCAGTGCTGGAGGCGTTCTTGGAAGTTCGCGTAGACTCTCTCCAACATCGCTCTCTCAACTTGGGCGACTTCCACGCGAATTTCGCACTTCAATTCGTCCAGAGTTCGGGGCTGGTTCGCGTATACTCTAGCCTTGAGGTGTCCCCATAAGAAAAAATCGCATATGGATAAATCTGGGGACCGAGGAGGTCAGACTAACGTTTCTTACTGTATATTGGATTAGGTGAATTTAAATTTCCGATTTTTTTTTTCATACTACGTTAATTCTGTCCAAAAAAAATTGGCAAAATTTACAAATTTTTGTCCCAATTTTTTAACAATTTTTTTTCAAATTTCAAAATTATTTTCAATTTACCTAAATTTCGAGATTTTCAGTTTTTTTACAATTCCCAGTTTTTCTCCAATATATACAAATCCTTAAATTATTTTCCAAATTTTCAAATCCATTTTTTTAAAAATTTCAAATTTTTTAAAATTTTTCAAATCCGAATTTGTCTCCAAAATTATTGTATTGTGGGACATTGAACCAAATTTCCATGTTCTTGAAATTGGTGAAATTACATTTGATGTCTATTCGTGGTTTGTCGCGATGTGATGCAGCGCGGGAATTACCGACCTATTCTGGTTGGTTTATAAGGTAAACTCGTTCATTAATATTTTTGTTCCCTAATGCATGTGTCTAATGTAGGAATATTTATATATCATCTAAGAATATCGCCAAAATGTATTCTAGGATCTAGCAGACGTTTTGGTACTCGAGTATATTTTCAGTTATTTTTATACATACATTGTTCCACATAGTACTTCTTTTTTGTTTTGCAAAAAAATGAAAAATGTTCCAGTTCACGTGGAATACGCCGATATGTATCTTTCGAATCAGCCGATGTGATAAGTGGAAGATAAACATCGCGCGAGTTTTATTTGATACATGGTTTACTATGTATGTTATTAATATTGTTTTGTCTGTATAATGCTAATATACACATTATATTAATTGTATTCAACATCTGAGAGTATGTGTTTTTTTCCAGGAAAATTTCCAAAAGGAGAATAGATTTATTAAGGTAATCTTATCAGAAAATATCTTCCATTTTATTTGATAATTTTACGATATTAAAGAGTAAAGATGTACGTTTCAAAATTTTGTTTTTCGTAGTTCGGTCGAAATTAAACCACAACGACTTGGCGGGTCATGTGTCCTGATACCGATCTGAATCGGGCACATCTTTTTCTGGGGAGTACTCATTGGAGGTTTTTAAAATTTCTACAATGAACTGGAGACGCGCTCAAAGTTTTCAGATTCCGAGAAAAAGTCAGCTTTATTGAAGTAACATTCTTTCATTTTCATGCTACTCGTGCGTCTGTTAAGCATTGCGCCGTATACTATATGAATACTCCAAGAAATCATTCAATGGAGATTTCCTTCTACATAGATTTTTTCATTCATCGGTTGATAATTCGAATGCCTTTCCAATCAAAATCTCGAGCATATCTCGTGTAAGGATTCATCAAGTCTACTAGCTTAATATTTCTAGAAACTATTAGACTTGAAAATAAAATTACTTGAAACGTTAATGCTTGACTTGACTTGATTTTTTCATTGTTCTACTTAATTTGAGGTCAAGCATTGTCAAACTACTTGATACTTGATGGCAAATTATATTTTTTTCTACTTAGTGCCTTAGTTTCTGTGGATTCCGTCATATTAACCTGACAAAAAATACCCGATCTTTAAATTCGAGGATAACCTGAACCTTTTTTGTTCGACAATTTTTGCTGTATCTCTAAAAATAAAGGGCTGAGCCAATTTTAACAAACTTGGGCTAGTTGAAAAGCTATTGTTGGGCTACAAATGTTATAACATTTCACTGCTATACTATCGTGAGCGTACTCTCATAGTCTTTACCGTTTATTGTAACAGTCCCTTTTAATGTACTGGCACGTAATTCCTTCTAAAATATCATATATTTAAAAACAAACATTAAATTTATCAACCACAAAAACTGACGATAAGAGTGAGGTGGAGTCCGGGACGTGTAAAAACAAGCACACAACTACATGTTTCGGGTAGATCTGCAACCACCATGGCAAACAGGACTCACATATCCAAACTAAAGGTAAATAGGCGTACATTTTTGTCACTTTATACAAAAAGTAGTTATAGCGAAAAAAATATCTGCCGGAGTCTGATAGACTCAACCTCACCAGTTACGGGTTAAATTCGAGAATAACCTGAACCTTTTTTGTTCGACAATTTTTGCTGTATCTCTAAAAATAAAGGGCTGAGCCGATTTTACCAAACTTGGGCTAGCTGAAAAGCTATTGTTGGGTTACAAATGTTATAATATTTGAAGTTTTGTTAGTTTCACATGTGGCCGCTAGAGACATTCCAACATAAATGGTTAATTAAAAAAAATAATGCATTGGTATTTTTTTAATGAAAAATAGCTAGATGACGTCTAAACAAGCTCGCGAAAACTGCGTCTCGATATCTTGTTCGTAACCTAAAATTTAGGACCAAAGAAAGTTTTACACGCAAATCCCTTATACGAGTAGATATTTTTATTTTTGAAAATATTACTAAATATCGCTAATAGGTAAGTTAGTTATGCTAATAACAAGAGGCCTATCTTTTGTTTGGCCGCTTTAGTAATAACTGTTTTCGCCGCAAGCTTCTGCGAGATACAGTACCTCGCATTCTTAGTTGGCCACCCTGTACAACCGATGAACCTCATTTTGTATTTTAATGCAAATAATCACGAGTGGTAGAAAAGGCGTGAAAAAGTATTCCGAAATCTAGTTTTGATTGTGAGAGATTTTCTATTGACACCTGCAACATCAGCGTCCATTGAGAGGAAGTTTTCTAGGACTTCACTGACCGTTGCAGGGCTTCCGCAACAGATTAAGTTAATAAGTCCGTTAGGACCCTCATGTGTCTTAACTTATGGTAAGCAAATAAAAAGCTTATTACGAATTATTCGTTTTTCGTATCAGATGACGAAGAAATGTTTTTCTTTTCTATTTCAGATTACAGTATTATCGTTCTTTTATTTGTTATACGATATCAAATTATCTATAAAAGTGCAATATTCTCAATTTCAGAGCTGGACTATTATTGGTTAATAAGTGACGGTTGAAGAAAAAATTCACAACAATATACCAAAAATCTATTTTTGGAAAAAAATTAAAAAGATTTTGTTTTTCAGTCATCTCTATACACACCATGAAGGAATCAGACGAAAGATACTAAAAATACTTAAAAAAAAAAACTTGTAAAAAGGCATGTGCGACCTTAAAGCATTGAACTAGGTACCAATTCCAACGTTAGCATAGGAATTTCCAATAAAAAAAGAGAGACTCGATATGCTATTATTCTATATTTTTTACGCTTTTAAAATGATTTGTGATTTGGGTTGAAAAATAAACCCCAGCACATATAGATAAATATTTATTATGACGAGACATAGAAAACACCCTGTAAATTAAAATAATGCACTAGACGAACACAACCACTACTGATAAAGAAATACAATAAAAAAAATATTGTACTGTATCATTGAGCAAACATGACGAAAAAGCTAACATAGTCTAATCATATTAGTCGAAAATACCCCTAGTTTGCGAAATAATTGTAAACTCTTCAAATAAGATTTTCAGGTATTTATGAGACCTACAGAATGAGGTAAGGTAAAAAGATCCCACTTATAGTAAAAAAGTTATGGTCGAAAACCGAGGCAAAATGCAGGTTTCGGCACGGCTAATGCGATGATAATTTCACGCAGCTACTTGAAATTTTTCAAATACGACATGTTTGAATGTTAGAAGAAAAAACGTAACTCTTCGTTTTTCGCATAAAAATAACAATTATCTTTCAGAATTGCTTGTGATTCACGTCGGCAAGGTAAACTCCTGTATTTTGCTATAAAATGCTCTTTGAACGAACCCTTATTGATCAATAAATTAGTAGTGATGGCCGGAAGACAGGAGTTTTGTGATAAACAATTAGAAATTCTCAAAAACTACATGACCAATCAACTCCAATTTTGTTGTGGTTATTTAGAAGTAAGAAGCCTTCGGATTTGAAGAATTTCAAGTAGCTGCGAGAAATTATCGTCGCCTTAGCAACAAGTGCCAAAATCTACATTTTGCCTTGGTTTTCGGCCATAACTTTTTTACTATTAGTGGGATCTTTTCACGTGTGGTCTCATTCTGTAGGTCCCATGAATACCTAAAAATCTTATTTGAAGACTTTTTTCGTTTCTGCCAACACTTTTGACTCAATCCAAAAAAACACGTTTTTCTCATTCTTTTTTTCCGAAAAAAAAATTGGTGTACCCATTTTATGCGTCCATGTTTTAAATACCCCCTTGAAAAACTTGCATCAATAAAACCAGACTTTACAGTTATTTCGGAGAAATTTGCTAATATGATTAGACTAGTAGGCAAAAATGAGCAATACATGATTAAATGTTGAAATTCAAATGTCAGAATAATGGAAAAATAAACATTTCAGTAGGCCGCACCCGCTTGTTTGCTTTCCGTTTATCCGTCTCCAACAAGTAAACCTACACGCCATACCGATGATTGCTAATAATCATGAAACAATGTTGTATGCGGTTGATCGTGGTTACAGAGGTGGAAAGCAAACAAAATCTGTTCAGCAAATCATAAACATGTCTAGAAGGAATCGAAACACAGAGGTATGAAAATAAAGAGAGCAAAACAAAAATATTAAAACAAAATAAAGATACATACACACGACAAAGACAAATTTTTCTGCTGGCATTGTTTGAGATTAGCAGACATCAAACACAAAATGTATAAACTTCATAACATATAAATATACGCTTCAAAGCTAGACAAAATATCTGTAAAATTTTCTTGTCTATAAATTTATTAAAAATATTTTCATATATTTATTATGTATAGTTCACATGAATCATTTTGTATTACCATTACCATATTGATATTAAATAATGCTCATAAAATTAATATATGCAGTTCTAGAATAGCTTAAGGCAACATTTCCAATATAAATATAAATTTGCTTTCGATAGATATTTCACTTGTATATCACAGCAAATAAATCAAAATATTATTCTACAGCAAAAGCCAAAAATTGAATACGTATATAACACATCACATTTTATAGAAATATATTCAATCATTGCTTAACGTATTCCAACGTGGAAATGCAAATTCTTTTGATGTATTTGGACGTTCACCTACAATTTTCATCGTCACAGCGATATTGTAGGATATCAGTAGTTTCCTTAAAAGTAATAAAAACAGCCTTCATTTACATTTAAAGAAAGTTCTTTATCCTTAAACATAAAACATCAACCTTCCAATGGAAGATCCGGTCTCAATCTACCACGTAATTATTCCTAAGAATCGTATTCGCCAAATTGTTGAATGATGGTAAACGAAATTCTACAAACGGCGGCAACAGTGCGAGAAGTGGCAAAGCTGACGTCTGAAAGCGGTGGTCGACAGTTATATAGTTTTATGCACAGACACACGTGACTTTGACAGCTACTCTTATTGGTTGAAGGACAAACACAAACTGACTGTCATTTAATTCGATGTGAATTAGCTCCTCTATTTTTGCTTACATCTCTAAAATTCTGGGTGCAAACGGACCGGAATCTGTTGGAAATGTTTAGTTATTCAGTTATGCGTAAAGAACTATTGAAATGTCCTTCTTTGTGTGATGGTGGATTGTTAAATGATTTAGTTCACCACCACACAAAGGAATGCATTTCTATACGTATTTGCAAATAACTAAAAAACAGTAACAATTTCCAAAACATCCCCGACTATTTGAACCAAATATTTGAGAGATATAAGTAAAAATATTGGAGCTAATTTAGAATGAAATAAATGGCAGCCCATTTGCGGTCATCCTCCCACCAATAGAAAACCAGGCAGTGACATCATATGAAAATGATCTATGAACTTGTAGGGGTTATTCAGTGTAACAGTAGAAAACATTTCAAAATGTCTTCCTCCAACCTGAATACACCGTTCCTATGGGTACATGTAAAGTCTTTGGTTTACGAAACTCCAGTAGAAACAGAGCAAGACTTAATTGGACGAATTACGGCAGCATTTGAAATGATTCGAAACGAGTATCAAATTTTTAGTCCGCCGAAATCATGTGCGACGTTTAAATCGGTGTATTCAGGTTGGAGGAAGACATTTTGAATAATTGTTGTGATGATATCATGTACAAAAGGCAAAAATTAAATACATTAAATACTATTTAGGCAATTCATCGTCTTTCTAAATTTTAACGCGTCTTAGGACCGTAGTGACACTTTTCCGGATATGGGTCCCTATACTCAATGTTTTCTACTGTTACACTGAATAACCCCTGATCCCTTAGTTCTGAAACACCCTGTATATTATGTTAATCAATGGCTGAATACAATAAAATATATAATTCTGCATTTTGTACCCTCATAAGGCACTATAAATTGGTAATCAAAAATGGTCCTTACATTATTTGCCAAGATCATATCTATAATTTAGAGGTAAACGGCCGCAAGTTCAGTTTGGCCCATTTTTGAGTAAGTGTTACTATACCCTATAGTCCAATTACGCCCTGGCACCACAAAGATGCAGCGCAGCAAAGCGGCAGCCGCCTAAGCGTTGCAATAGCTATTGGTCATTCGGCATAAAACTACGAACAAGTGCAGGATTCGACAGGATAGAACTCAGGCTCGGGGTATCGCCGGCCGTTGCTGTTCATATTCGGTGCCTAGATGCGTATGTTTATACGTTAGCATGTCATCTACGGATACAGCAGATAAAACAGGATATTTCTCCCAATGCTTCCTTCAGCTATGCTTCCTCTCCAGTGATGTCTCCTCCCCGAAAACGTGACAAAAAGGGACATTTAAATATTCAGGCAAAAGAAATTGTCCTTAACGTTTATAAGAGTGAAATTTTAGAGCATCATGAAATGAAAAGAAAATTGATCATATTAAAAGACTTGTAGTGAAAAAAACAGGCTTGTGTCTTAAGACAATTTTCAGCATTGCTGAAGAATATAAAAAAAAACAAAAAATTGTCTCCACCACACAAGAGGCAGCAGTTGATAATTTTGATCCGAATGCAATCTATCAATTTTTTGAAAGGCAGGAACTTCCCACCATAGACAAAGTGTCACAGGAGGTTAATAGTGATGAAGACTTACTCTCAAAAGGTGCATATTCTATAGTTTACTCAAAGAATTTCATTTTGAATATAGAATACGGAGCAGAAATAGTATTTTGATGGACAGCAAAGAGGTTATTTTATGGAGAAGAAATTATTTAAAACCAATAAAGAAATACCAGGGCAGGAAGATTTATTACTTGGATAAAACCTGGATAAATGCAGGACATACAAAACCTAAAGTAAGGGCTGACCTACAATTAAATCAGCAAGATAAGTCTCAGATGGACTAACCACTGGCCTAAAGAATCCGTCAGGTACGTGTATCTGACGAGTTCGTCTTTTGTGTTGGAAAAATGGTGTCAAGTAGACTGAATCTATGAGCCCATGCTGAAAACTTAGCTACACTAGACTTAGCTATATCTGGTAGATTTGGAACAAACACCTGTTAGATACTCTGCTTGTGTTATTATTAGTTTTCTTGAATACTATATGAAATAATTATTTCCAGGAGAATGAAAACGATTTGTTATCTGTCACACTGGCAGTGAAGATGGCTTTGTGCCCACTGCCCTATGGGCATTTGAGTCAAAGAAAACGACCGACTACCATGAAGAAATGGACGGGAGTTTATTTGAACGATGGTTATAAGAAACACTCCCAAATCTTGACGACATTGTACTTGATAAAGCTGCATACCACACTAGAAAATTCCCACAATTTTCACAAGAAAGGCAGAAATTCAACAATGGTTCCGAGCAAAAGACATTAGTTTCAATGAAAATATGGGCAAAGCAGAACTTATCCATCTTGTCAGGCAGCACAAATATAAATATAATCTTAATGTTATTGACGAAATGGCAAAAAACCAAAATAAGACCGTTTTACGGCTACACCCTTATCACTGCGAATTAAATCCCATTGAAATGATGTGTGCAAATATAGTTGACTTCAAACAATAGAACATTCAAATTTACTGAGGTGGAAAAATTTGTTTTATGAAGCTGCCAACAGAGTGACGGCAAACCATTTTAAAAATTGCATCCGTCACGTTCAAGAGACAATCGAAACCAGGATGTGGGATCTGGATAATATGATCGATATTCAAATTGAACGTGAAATAATTAATACTAACCATTCGGACGATGATTCAAGTACTTCCAGCGAATAAAGAATTGTGAAAAGTATGAGCACTTCTTTCTATAAAAACAATCATTTATTTTGTTAGATTATTCAAAGACCATTGAGGAAAATACGGAACTGTACAATCTCGCTTTTGGGCATGTTGTGTTTTGTCTGGGCGTAAATGGACTACGAATGGGGTATATTTAGCTACACTTTTTTAGTTTGACATTGCAGCAAAAATACGACGGCCCCAGGTTTTTCATTGTGCCCAACTAAACTGTTTGGCATTTCACGTGAAGTGAAAAAGTGATTTTTTGAAATTCGTTCAGGTGTGCAAGAGAAGATACGATTTTTTCTCAAATATAGAATTAAAAAAAGAACTAAGTGCTAAACCGGAAGTAAACATTTCAAATAAAAATTTGGGCAACTTCGCATTTCTATTTCCGATGTTTTTACTCCAAAATATAGCCTGAAGTGTGTTCAAAATACATCAGAAGTTTCGAAATGGTATGCGCATTAATTAAGGAGGTACGTATATTTATGTACATGCATGTCAGCCTGGGTATGATATTTGGTGCTTGTTTAGGTCGATTGTTTACGAGATATTGCAATAATACGAGTATTTTTTCAAAAATATTTTACAATTTTTATGCTTACAAAAAACTGTTACACAGGCATCTTGTAGAAAAGGAAAAACCAAAATTGAGATTTCTGTGCCATCTGATTGCCGATACCTAGACTAACAAACCTATAAAAGTATTGAAACTCCAAAAAATTATTTCTATTGAATATCTTGCTCAAGGAAATCCTCCTCCGATGTATTAAAAAATAGTCCGTAAGACTTCGTATCTCCATAAACAGCGCCATTTCTCAAGCGACGACAGTCACGTGACTTTTTGCAGTTTTTTTCTAGTGGTATTCTAGTGAAATTGATCAGAAATATTTTTGTTTCCTCAATGTAAGTTTCTTCACGTTTTCATAAAGTCAAATTTCACCTGTATGCTTTAAGACCAATTTGTTTTTGCTTTTTACTTGTTTGGTGGATTTACGAGAATTTCTGTCGAATTGGCTTAACCTTATCTTACGTCTAGCATGGAGTTACGAGGGTTTATTATGCATTTTATGACAATATTCCGCACCTCTAATGAACTTTCCTTTATGCCACATATTTTGAGCAAATAAAATGTATGAGAATAAGTTATTGATATTTATTTTTTCTTCGTGCATCAGCGTAACTCCATATAATGAGAGAAATAAAGACTTGTAGCTCCATTTTTTTAAAATATAAATAATAAAATTAACCTGTTTAAAAAAATAAGCATATTCCAAAGTGTGTAGTGATATATACTAATATAATAAAAAACATATCATTTTCATTTATGAACCTGGTCAAAACTAGCAGAATTTAAAAATTGTACATATATAGCAATCCTGTAAACCTTAACAAAATGGAGATACGAGGTTTTATTGTGTCACCGACGATATAACAGATATGACTCTCAATATTTACAGATAAATCAAATTCGCTAATCCATTCCATTATAAAGATCACTTTAATACCAATGTTGAATTACATTTTCACGCATGTTCTCATAGTAAGGGACCATGCGATGATCTGGGAGGTAACCTTAAACGGTTACCGACGCCTACCGGCTTCCAGTTGCCTAAAACGGCAAATGCTTCGCCTTGGTAACTATATCAATGAACAAAATCATGTTTAAAACAAGCAACAATTTTTTACTGCACGAAAGAAGACCCAGCATGAAACAATTTTCATGGAAGCCCGATTTAATTGAGCTAAGACAATCCCAGGGACCAAGCAATTTTCATGCATTCATCCCCAAGACAGAAGGCCTTGTCGTTAAAAGAACTAGTATTAGCGAGCGAAGTAAAATTGTATAGGTTATAAAATGAAATATTCCTTTTAACATTAATGCAGTTTTACTAAATATGCCTTTTTCTCCGACTAGACGATAAACAAGCCTCAGCGCGACATGTATGTACCTACATAAAAATCTCTCTCCTTCGTGAATGCGCTTCCCATTTTAAAACGTCTAGAGTATTTTGAACACAATTTAAGCTATATTTTGGAGAGAAAAAATAAAAAATGCGAAGTTTCCCAAATTTTGGTTTGAAACGTTTACTTCCGGCTTAACATCACGTTTTCTTTTTAATTTCGAATTGGGTTTTTTCATCAAGAAGTACAGAAAATTTCCTATGATACTATGATACTTTTCAATTCGCAAAAATACTTTGAAGAAATCTCGATTAGAAATATGGCATCTATTTCGAAACCCGCGACATAGCAAACGAACGTGCCACGAAAAAAAAACGTGCACATGTTTTGCTCATTACTCAAAACTTTAATTTTTGGGCTGACGACTGTTTGCCTCGAAGATATTTTAACTCCCACAGAAATATCACAATTTCTTTTCGTTAAGATCTGCCATAAGCCGCATTTTTTCTTGGGCACAAGAACATGATTGTGGCCTTACAAAATAAAAACCCTTTTTCTCACACGCACCTTTTTTTGTTTTTATTTCATTCACACAACCAATCACACGGCAATTTCGGCATCTTGCTAGCAGGCCACGGCAAGTAACCCGCTGTTTTGAACACCCAGTAATCGTAAGATACTTTGGCGATCAATCCGACTAACAATAGCACTTCGGCTGTGATTATGTAGTAGATATAATCAGTCCAATCTTGGTCGCCTTGGCAAAGTTTGGTTTGGTCCAACTCCACCACTTTGGCGTTGATGTTCTCGCAGACTATTTCGTTGTAATCAGGTACGCGATGTATCTTGGTTAATAGCCAAACCTAGAAGCAATGTGAAGTGTGTTTAGTTTGAGAAGTCTGTTGACATTTAAATGTAAAAGTGTATACAGAGTGTCCGCAAAGTTGGGGTTTTCCTTTACACGACGTGTAGATCTTGAAAACTTAAGCAGTTTTTCTTAGTACCATATATACCAATGTCTTAAGGGACCCGAGATAAAGGGCTCTGCAACATCCAAAATATCTGAATACCGTCCTGTAGCCGCGACATCCCCGAGCGGTACTAGGACACTAGGTCAACCCGACGACAGAACTGGGTCGGTGTCAGTGTGTCAGTATGCAACCTTCAACCGACGGTTACGGTCACGCGTGTAGAGGTAATCGCGTAGACGAGAATCCCTCAACAAGCACTAGAGACGTGGCTAGAGAAGTGCAGTATCAAAAACTAAAGCGTGGCAAACGCTGCGTGAAGAGGGGCTGTATCCATTTCACGTCCAACGTGTACAAGCCCTTCAACCTGACGATTTTCCAGCAAGAGTGCGGTTTTGTGAGTGGTGTTGCATCAACATGACAATAATCCGGACTTTTTGAAGTGCATATTGGTGACAGCCAAGATTTGAGCATTTTTACACAATCTTTAGAAAAAAATCAAATATTTTTAGACCATATCAAAATCTGTGAAGCGATTTTAACAATGCCTAAACGCTGCATATCCTAAAGGATTCTCTTCTTCCCCTTTGCTCTCGTTCTTCCTTCTCTCCTTTCCTTCCCCTTTTTTCCTTAAAATTGTCTGGTTTCTGGGTTACCAGACCTGACAGACTTACAAACTGACACTGTGACTCAAGAGCTAAGGTCCCACGGACCGCTCTGACAACCAACGATGACTTGACTTGACGAATCTACGATCACGCCTAATGGGATGAATAACTTTCGCAACACTCATGTTTGGTCAGTAGAAAATCCGCACGCTGTCCGCCGGGCACATTTTCAACAAACATTTTCGGTGAATGTTTGGGCTGGCATGGTGAACGGTATGCTCATTGGACCATTTATTCCCCCAAAACGATTGGACGGGATGCAATACGTAGACTTTTTACGCAAAATTTTGCCTTCCTTGTTCTGCGTCTGCTCGGTAGCGCATCAGCTGATTTCATTTTCTGTTGGAGCGGTATGATTTCGGGCAGAGACGTACTTAGCCCTTCTCAACTGGAGAGTGAGTACTTTTTCCTTTATTTTTTTTACTTGGTCGCCCTCGTTTCACTACACATTACCTTTGTTATTTCAAGGGTAGTTGTTTCTGAAAAGGAAAACCCCAACTTTGCGGACACCCTGTATATATACATATATATACCGAAGCAGCCACACAGGCAGAAGCCTAAATGCCGGGACACCGCGGCTGCTATGATGATCGCAAAGAAATTTTGTAGAACTGGGAAAAGCTTCCTGTTGTAGATTGTTCGACAATCTCGACACTCTAGGGACAAAGGAGCGGGTGTATCGGCCAGTTCTGGATGTACGAAGTTCGACACGGTCTGTCTGGCAGGCACATCGCGCGGCGGCATCATGGAAGAGAGCTCTGAGGAGCAAAGCCCGTTACTGTAGCGGTAGCAGGGAGCTAGACTGCCGAAGGCCCGCTGTGCGAAAGGGTCCCGAGACTGTCTGTTAGAGAAGAGTCATCGATTAGCCGGACAGCCCTCCTCTGGACAGCATCGAGTATAAATAATGTAGTCGGGGCGGCAGCACCCCAAACGTGTGAGCAATACTCGAGGCTAGGCCTTATCTGGGCCTTGTATAGTGAGAAGGTCATGCGGAGAAAAATACTTATTAGCCCTAAATAAATAGCCTAGCTTTTTTCCAGCAGCTGCCGCTATTGACGAACTATGTTCATGCCAGATCAGGTTCTCGGTGATCTGCACTCCGACCAGCGGAGATGAATCGCTCTTTGGCAGAACTCAGCCATTCACTGAAACCGGATAGCGCTAGGACGCTTTTTTCGTCAAGGTACAGTACTGGGTTTTGGAAGCATCAAACTGTAGCAGATTTTTGCGTCCCCAAGCAGTGATAACCTCCAGGTCTCTCGTCGGAGAGGAAGCCGTCGCTAGTCTTCTTTTTTCCAGATCGGTTTGTCACTCTGAATTCCTGCATGTAGAGTTCTGTCAACAGCGAAGCTGTGAATTGGGTTCATCGTGGAAAGGAGGCCCTTGATATGTAAGAGGAACAGTGTACCAGTCAAGGCCGATCGCTGGGGAAAACCCGCGTTGACGTTGTGGGATCAAGAGGAGAACCCGTTACGACGGATATCTTGCGGCCAGAGATAAAGTCAGCCACCCATCTGCAAAGCTTTTCTGGAAGGCCATAGGATGGAAGTTTGCTCAAGAGGGCACCGTGCCACAGCTGATCGAACGCTTTCGTGATGTCAATAGCAATGACATGAGCCTCACCATAAGACTTGATGTGTTTAGTCCATAATTGCGTGACGTAAGCTAGGGGGTCCTCTGTGGATCGCTGGTGCCGGAAACCATACTGCCTGTCGCTTACTTACTTATAACAGAAAGCAAAGCTACAGGCCTGTCTTAGATCGGTCTTAGATCCTTTTTTTGGGATGGTTTGGACATGACCAAATTTCCAGTTTTCTGGAAAGGTGCCGGATTCATAAGATATCTGGAAGAGACGCGAAATAACTGGAGCACGCTCCGCTGCACACCTCTTCAGTACAATGGCAGGAATCAAGTGGCACTATTAAGTACTTGTTTATAGTTTTTTTTTTCGAAAACGGCGTTAAGTTGATTGATTCTGTACTTCCAACGGAACACTGGACAAATGTATATTGTATATGCAACATGTATAATGTCTGAGTCAACTTTCTTATGGCTTGGTACGTTTATTGTTCGCCAGCCATGAAAATATTTGTACCATGATATAAGACCGTTAAGAATGGATATACTTGAATGGAAAAAGTATTGATGATTTGAAACAAAATTAAATTAAGGACTTTGATTATAGATGATGTGAATCAACTTTCATATATGTTCTGGGTTATTTACTGTTGGCCGGCTATAGAAACCCTTACAGCTGGTCATCTAATAGAAGGGATATAATTAAAGAAAACGTATTGTCAGTTTATTTTTATTTTTTTATTAAATAAGTGAAGACCACTTTCGTATGCGCTGGTATTATTGCTGTTCGACGGCTATAAAGACATTTATATGTCTGTATACGGTATTGTGAGTTTGCTTGAGGAATGGGTACTAGAAATAGTCGAGATAATACATTTTTCATTCTTTTAAATATCTTCATATTCGCAGAAGACATTCTATCATTATAAGACTTAACAGCAAATATAAGGGGAAATCTATGTGTGAAATATACCTAACAGGTACGTAGAATGGACAAGTTTACCATTTTTTTGTTGTTAGCTCAAATGAAACAAGATGGTGGAAAAATTAATTTATCTCTATTATGTTAGGAGGTCTAATGCTGAAATCTATCATCTATATAATGAACCAAACATAAAAGAAGTAGCCAGGACCAGAAGATTGCAGTGGCTGGGGCACCTGGAAAGAATGCCGCAAGAAAGAACAGTAAAGCATATAGCATGGAGAGTTCCGGATACCAAGAAGGAAAGAGGGAGACCGAGAGGAAGATGGAAGGATGCGGTTATGGAAGATTTGAGGAAAAGAAATATCAGAGACTGGAAGAAACGAGCACTAGACATGAAGTGGTGGAATAAACTTATCAAGCTTAGGGCCTAAAGGCCTGTTTTATAGCTGTATATATATATATATATATATATATATATATATATATATATATATATAACTATAGATATATCTCAAGTTATATATACATATATATAAAAAGAACAACATATGTCTGTGAGGACCACTTTACTATTTATTTATGATTATTAGTTATTATACGATTTCCAAGCTCATTTCACTGTACACGCGGCATTTGGAGGGGAAATATTTATATACATATATACATACAAATATTATTACAGCTCACTTATTTCAACTCAGCGAGAATAGCTGTGAGCTACTATAGTGTCACTTACCCCCCTAAAAAGGCGTCAAGTAGGTTGACTCTTTACTGTGTGCATGTGCAATGTTATTATATACTTTAATGATATTTTAGAAAAGTATCGTGTCATATTCGCAAATCTGTACTCATATTAAGCATCAACACTAATTTGTTTAAAACCTCAGTAGGGTATCGCACATTTTGCCGCTAGTTGTGATAGTGTAGCAGTAGACGTAAATACGTACTTCCAAAGTATCACACCTTTTATTTCCGCGCTTTTATATGATGGATTTGAAGAAATGAATTCCATCACGGCATAAATGTCATTTTGGGCAAATTGTCACTTAACCCTTTTACAAATCCGGCTTCCATAATGGTATGAACTTACGCAGTACTCAATAGTTATCAACTGGAAACCACGTGTCCGAGCGCACAGGTATGTCTTATGAACTATCTATAGACTAATGACTAAACGAACAGACCCTGTCGAACACCTACATGACTAGACGCTGGGCACTAGAGAAGTGTGACGTCAGACGCGAACGAACGGCAGCAATAATTTCGCGCTATAATGCGCAAAATTTAAGTTTCAATTTCTCTGTCATTTAGTGGCCGATTTCAATAATCTTTTCACTGGCTGATTATATTTAGTCTATATTTTGCTGGTATGTCCTTACTTCTGTGATTCTGAATATCACGAAACTTCTCCATTACTGAGGCTAGAAGTTTATATACATTTTACCACCAAAAATTGAGATACCCCTCCCCAATACCCTACGAATTTCAAAAATGATCAGGAGTCAAAAAAACGAAGTTTGAGGGATTTTTCTTTTTTTGGCTTTAGCGCCGTCGGTACTGGGCCGATTATCAAAAACTAAAAAGCTTTTTTGTCTTAGGCATAGTAGTACCCGTGTGTGAAGATTTTCCAAGTTATAGACGGACCAAGGATTAGCGGACAAAGACAAACCGACCGAAACGAACGATGTGATAATATATCATCATATAACATACAAAAAGCATAATTATGTTATTATGAGATATTTGTCATTATTGCAATTACATATACTTCATCGCCATTGGCGTTTGAAGTAAAAGAGCGACTAATTGAGTTCTCTAGATGTCATATGCACAATACTGGTGGTGTCTAAATCAAGTTGATAAAAAATGACACCAGATATGAACTTCTCACTATAATGGTTCGGATTTTATGTAACTAAATGTTAAGAATACTTACCTTAAATTCCATCGCAGTTTGACAATCACAATGTAACTTGTTCAGACCTAGTTTGATATGCCTAGGTTCGGCTGTCCTGTAGAATTTTATATTTGATAACAGATATGTTTCAATCTGAAAAATACATCATACATAAAATTTGTCAGCCATGCTAAAAAAAAGATGATTGTATTGAGCAAAGACTATGTAAAGTTACTTACAGTTTTGATGTTGTTATTCCTTAAACTCAAACTCTCAAAATTATTCATGAAAGCAGTTCCTTCAAGTGGCTGAATTGAGGAAATCTGATTGTTGTCAGCATATAAATAAGTCAGGTATTGATAGGAAGGGTCACTCAATTCCTTCAAGGATGTTATCTGGAAAAAATCGCCATACGGTCTGAACACATAACACAAATTGTTGTTAGTACGCAAAGACCTTCTGGCCAAATGAAACCACAATTGTATTAATGATGGCCACCACCGTGGTGGCTGAAGCGTCAGTAACAAGCAATTGATACATATATGGTTTCATTTGGCCAGAAGGTCATGAAGTTCTATCAACAGGAAAGCCACAGGATAAGCTTCAGGGGTTACATCAACAGAAGATTGTGTCACCACATACTAAACTATTATTTTATGCATTGCATTTATTCATATTTAGCTGAAATAAAATTGAAGATAAAATATACTCCAATCTACAATAGGAAATATGAACGTGCAACTTTCAGGATCGACTCTTAGAGGTAAATTCAAACCTTTGTTTCCAAAAGCTGCCTAAGTGCACCATCTTGGCAGCGTTCAGGTAAAACAACCGGTTTGGTAAGGTATCTTCAATCGTTTTCTAGTTGCACCACGCCGCCTCGTGGGCACATACCATGTACCACAGTGCGAGGACAATAACATGTTTAAGATCTTCCGAGTCAGCACGTCCGCTACAGCAAGTATCTTTAGTAAACAACTTGAGAGTTAGGAAACGTGAACGCCGCCAGATGGGGCACAAAGGCAGCTTGTCAGAATAAAGGAACAGCGGCGTGGCTAGGATTGAATTTTCCTCGAACAGTCGATCCTGAAAGTTATTTGGCAGCTGGAGCTGTAGAATAATTGGTTTGGTCAGCTCCGCGAAAACAGAGGAGGTGCGGGTTAGAATCGCGCCGAAGCCCATTATTCCTATCTTTCAAGTATTTGTTTACTAAACATACTCGCTGTTGCATTTGCGCTCATCCAAAAGTCGTATACACATTTATCTGTACATTGTGCAGAAGTCGAGCAGTTTTGGGCCGGTAAAGTAGGACTTTCCCGTCATCCTTCATCGTAAGGGATGATGAAGATGAACTTGGCAAACCATCGGTAGGTGGATATCGTCAGATTCTTCGTCTACCTCCGCAAAGTACAAGTTTTCTCATTACTTACATTATTGTTAGATATGTCGAGCAAAACAGTCCTTGGAGGTAGTGGTGTAGGAAGTGAAGTCAGCTTATTTTCAAATTTGACACCAGAACAATTAACTTCCACTGCAAATGTAGGCGATTTGCCCATTACCATGTCCAATCGGTATGGTTCACAGGTACACTTTCCAAAACAATTTTTTTCTAGCTGGAAAATCCAATATTTAAAGAAAAATTGTTGAGTCACATACAAATGTGAGATGTTGCACTATACAATGTTGTGCAATGCTTGTAAGCTACTGTCAATATTAGTATATGATATTATATCTTAGATGATTATTATTGCATTCAGAATAACAAATTTGAGTTAGCAATAGAACAATCATTAGGTAATTGTAGTTTGTACTATGTGAATCTGCAATACATATATTAGATCACCCAGAGATAACTAGCATCAGAAAAAAAAATTCGAATCATCACGCATAGACCAATTAGCACTATCAAGAATAATTTGAACTTGAGCTGTATGTTATAACATTGAAATCGTTTTACATTATACGAGAAATGTAGCCTTTAGTTGTGTCTGAAAAGTGTTTCAGTCTAAGGTGGCTCCAAAATAAGCTCACAATGTGTAAATAAAATCAGCATTTCTAAGTATTTCTGTGTGGTAATTTTAATAGAATGTGGAAAATGTCACAGTAGGTAAGTTTTTCAAAAATTATGAGGAGTTAAAGGGCACAAAACGTATTTATCTGACGGTTACCTAAAAAAAAGAAAAAAAAACTGGTCTAAATCAAGGGTTGGTAAATAGATCAGTGTAGTAGTGATCACCATACAAAGCATTGGGCGGGAGGTCGAAAATAGAATAACTTACCTCATGTAAAAGTTTGAGCTGCGAAATGGCAAGAAATTCGGTAGAGTTGAACCACTGAAAAGTTTTTGCTGACGAACATGTCGTTGAATTTTCATTATTGAATGAAATCTCTGGTCGACTTAAAATATCCTTGACACTCGAACATAGCATTGATGGGTTCTCTAGAAGTCATGGAAACAATAAAAAATGTGTGAGGCTAACTTAGTTATTTTCACTATGTATAAATATGAAACTCACGTGATATATCTAGCGTGACAGCACCTTCCATCTTGAATCGAGGCACATCAGTGAGATTATTATTAGACAGATCCAAGTAACTCAAGTTGAAAAGATTAACAAGTGAACGTGGCTCAAATTTCTGAATGCCGTTGGAAGACAGATTAAGGCACGAAACGATCGTATGTTTAGCGAATTCGCCGACGACTTGCTTGATTTGGCCATCGGTGATTGTCATGAACCGCAGTCTCCTCCATACTGGATGAGTGATGTTCAGGACGTCCAAGGTAGCGTTGCGGATGTGCAAGGCTTCCACCAGGCCATCAGAGCTTATATCTGCGTGGGAGAGATATTTAATGAATTGCAATATTTTTAACAAAATATTTTTCCATCATTAAAATAGCTATATTTTTAAGAAAGATTGCATCTATGAGCCAACTATATTCCAGTATCTAAAAATTATCGGAGATGAAATGAGATACCATAACGCCATTTAGATTCGACCACTGCGGAAAGCGCAGAGCTGCTAATAGTTGGAACTATTACGGATCTCAGCTAGCGTTTAATAGCACAGTCACCATGTGACCGCTAGATGGCTGACGACCCTGGCTTTAAAGTAGATGTGGTCTACTTGCCATTGAATGAACTAAACATGACGCTTTTGTCCGTCCGACCTAAGATACATCCAACCATGGATAGCTGTTTTGTGCTTCTTCGCTACTCATCAGCATGGTCTAGCAGCGCCATCTATGAGACTCTAACCTTTTCGAAAGTAGATTCCTAATTAGTGCAGACAAAAAAAACATGACTATGACAAATCCTCATAGATGACAGTGTGGCATCTTATTTTATCTCGGATAATTTTTTAGATGCGGTGCTTAAACATTCAACATTTTTCTTTTATTTTTTTTTAATGGCATTTTTGTCCAAAAATCACCATTTTCAAATATCTTACTTATGGGCGTGTGATGGCAACAATTCCTCCTTCAATCCTATAATAAAATCTACTGAAAATGGCTGTATTTTAGGCAAAAATATCATGATTGCTTGAGCTTTTGAAGAACAATCACAAGCTGAAATAAAAAGAAAAATGTTGTTGAACATTTAAACTACCCTACATATGTTTTTAATATACAAATGTCAGAATATCATACATGGGATCAGCTCGCAATTTAAATTATCTTTATTAAAGCAAAAAGCCCTTATATTGAGTCTGATCTTTACTTTTTTGATGTTTTTTAGATAACCAAACATTCGGAATTTTCTTGAATCTTGGTTAGGTAAAGAATTTGGAGCATTGAGGTTTTAGAGTGCAAGGGATTTTTTTTTTCTGTGAATATAAGAATGTTACCATGAAACTTTGATACTTTGAACAGGTTCAATACATTTAATTTTGCATTTTCTACAATACTTACTCCCACAACCTAAACCTTCTGTCAGAGTAAATTTATTGACATCACAGCACACAGCTGCCCTTTTGCAGTTTGGCAACTGGCGACACCTGCAGAGGCTGCCTGGTGGAGGACAGGCTTCGGCGTGTTGATGGAAACATCTATGGTAGCAGCTGCTATCGTCATCAGGAAGCAATGATAAGGCCGGAGCGATAAGAAGACAGTAAACTATGGTATAGATATACAGCATCTGTAATGGAGATTCAATAAGTAGTGGTTTGATATCAAACATACAGAGTGTTACAAAATACTGCCAATCTTTCCTGTCATGAGTGTTCATTGTTCCATCATGAGAGGACTTGTTCAAAATTAATCCGTGTACCAAGTCAAAAAGCCTAGGTGTCTCCTCTTAAACTAAACACTTCTGTTTTTCTTTGCTCTTCTCCATTTTTCTTCTCTTTCCCTTTCTCTTTTTCCATGAAATTGTCTGGTTTCTGGGCAACCAGTACTGACAGATTCGACTAACGTACAGTAATGGACAAAAATGAATATTTACCTAAATACCTTTAAAAAACGAATTCATACTTCACTGCTCCATAAACAAATGCGTTATTAGTAGAAAAGCTAAATTCCTTGTTTTTACATTATCTGCAATGAACACAATAAAAATCTGAATATAAGCACTTTCTTATGAGGGACAAAAATATGTAGACAAATTTTTTTCAACTTTAGTTTAGTACAGTTTCATATCAGAAGAGGATTAGTTTGTGTTCATCAAGTATTGTGGAATGAGTTGAGTGATTTTAGGACCATGCCGCGGTGTCCAGAAATTTCTTTCAATGTGAAAACTAAGATCATTGAGTTATACAAAGATGGTCAATGTCAAGTCGACATTGCCAAAAATTTGAAGCTGAAGCGTAAAGCAGTTTGGGCAATATTGAACAAATATAAACAAAAAGGTATCTTGGACGCCTCTAAGAGAAGTGGTCGGCATAGAAAACTAAATGCTAGATCAGTTAGATTAATAAACGTAATTTCGTCCAAAGATCCGTTTAAAACCCCAAGACAAATAAAAGCCAAAATCGAGACTAAACGAATTGATAGTGTTTCTACGAAAACTATAAGTAGAATATTAAATAATTTGAAGTTATTTGCACGTCGCCCGAGTAAGAAGCTGCTAATCTCGAGGAAAAACCGTAAGCACCGAATACAATTTGCACGGTTGCATCTTGATTGGAGCATCTGTGACTGGAAGAGGGTATGTTTCAGTGACGAATCCACGTTCAATATGTTTGGATCAGATGATGTTCATTACGTTAGACGTCCTAGTCGACAAAGTACACTTTGCCCACTGTCAAACATGGAGGTTAGTCTGGTATTGTTTGGGGGTGCTCTTTGGGGTTTGGGATGGGACCTTTACATCGAATAGATGGCATTATGGATAAGTTTGTATACACACACATACTAAAGCATGTCATGTTACCCTATATGGAAGACAATATGCTCTTAAGATCAATCTTCCAGCAAGATAATGACCCGAAGCACACTTTAAATCTCGCAAAGAAATTCTTTCTGGATTAAAAAATACCAGTTCTCAAATGGCCTTCACAGTCTCCCGATATAAACCCCATTAAAAATCTATGGGAATACTTAGATAAGCAAATATGAGATAAAAGTTATTCAAACAAGGATGAACTTTTTGCCGCTTTAGAGCAAAAGTGGAGACAGACTGATGAATCTTATATCAAGAAACTTCTACAATCTATGCCAAGACTATGCCAGGCGGTGATTGATAATAATTGTTATGCTAGAAAATATTAACACAAACATGGTTGGTTTTCTATAATTCAATGAACTTTGCTTCTTTTTTCTATAATTGTTTTGATTTGTCTATATGTTTTTGTCCTTCATAGTTCCAGTTTTTTCAACTAATTTTTTATTGAAGGGAGTCTAATGAATTTATTTATGTATAAGTGAGTATTATGCTATAACGAATTATGTATACAGGTTGGTGTACTAATAAAACAAATTAAAAAAGAAATACAGCACAATATTAATTTGTCTATATACTTTTGTGCATTACTGTACATTAGACAGTGACTAATGGGCAAAGGTCCTACAGACTGCCTAGACAAACAAATGAAGAATAGTAGAGAGGACTTGTCAACTTGATACACAGAAATTGATACTGTCAAAAAAGTCATATAAGAAAAATGACTGAACGAATTACATTCCTTACATAACAAAGTTCAATAAGATTGAAAATTGAAAGTTTTATGTCCCATTCAGTCTCGAAACAGGAGTGAATGACCTGAACAAACTCTTGTCTATAGCAGCAATTGTCAGGAAAAGTACAAGATTCAGATGAATATAATATGCTAAAAAGTTCATTTACAGCTGATAGATATAGAAATCTTTCATTTGCATAATTTAATAAGTATGTCTGTCTGCCATAGTTCACCTTACATTTCTCCAAAACAGTTTTAGATAACATTAAGTACACATATAACACACATACAAAATACAGTTTTTGCAATAAACTAGTATCAATACCTTAAAGCCAGGTTGATTCTACTTGAGTACTACATCTTAGAATTGTCTGTTAAAACTTTTGTTGCAAATTTAGTTTCTGCCAATCTTATATTTTTTGATTTCAGCACCCTAGAAACATTTGGTACCCAACAAATTGACAGCGATTAAAATTTGGATTTGAAAAAATTTACACATACTTCTTTTGTATTTACAATATCGAGCAAGCACAAAGTTCGAAAATATGCTATTAATAAATATTTTATTGATAAAAATATAAATGCATAGCTGCTGCAAACAACACTGTACAATGTGCATTTGTATCCTTGATAAGTGTTGATATGCACACATGTATGGATATATGGAATTTATATAAAAAGCGTGCATTCTCCACAAAGTTTCCTTGATCATAAACAATATGATGGTATAAAAATAGATATAAAATGTGCAACATTATGAGGTAAAGTGGGATTACTTAGTATTTACCTTAAAACATTGTTTCACTCTAAAGCATCATCGAGCTGTACTATAAATAATTCCTTAAATCAGGAACAAACTACAAAGCCAGATAAGAGATTATATTAGCATAAATAAAAAATAAAAAGCAAATAAACAATTATAACCTCAAAACGAACAAATGTCAAATTAACGCGAATGAAGGGGCATCTAGTGGGCTTTTTTATAAGCTATCATAATTATTAGCAGTAAATCAGTAAGTTTCTAACACATTGAATGAGACAAATAAGTTTGAGAACTAATAGATGACACCAAATAGCTTAGTACGGTGGCATCTGTTGCTGGTATAATATTGAAGTTGATAATAAAAAGTTAGTTCTTCCAGATCTTGTGTTTTGTGAGATACCCCCTTTATGACAACACTCCCTTGAAGGGTTTATCTCTGAACACTCCTTTTCATTTAAACAAACTGGAAGCTGCGGCTACGCGCTGCGCACCATGTGCTTGCACATTGTAAAGATTGCAAACGCACCTTTACGTAGGTATACCCTGTTTCAAAAAAAAAGTTACAAGCAAAAATAGCAAGGAGAAACAAAGCAATTTATTGCTACAGCCGCAGGCCGCAGTGAAATTTTTTATTTTCATGATTCAGCCAAGTTTTAAAAGCATTTGGGCTTTTGCTAATTGGTAACAATAACGGAACTTATAATCATTCATTTTTCTTGAAATGGTGAATTTTCGTTATACAGTGTTCTTCTAAAAGAGATGAGCATGTTTGTTCATACAAGGAATAAACTAATATAATTTAAACCCTGATCCAAAAATATGCTGAATGTGCTCTGTAAGTTAATTTATATTAGAGTTGAAAAAGGTAATAGAAAAATCTTTACAGCTTTTTGAATGTCTAATAGTTTTAGCAAGCTAGCTGCGGATCCTTGTATTGACACCTAACAAAATTTCCAATACGTCATTTGTCAAAATCTAAAATTTGAACAGCGAAAGACAGACATGCTTTCCTCGGATCGCTCAACAATATTAAAATCGATGATCTTATAGTGAAAAGTGAGCCCCAAATTATTTAGAACATTTTAAAGGACAGTGCTAAAATATTTGCAGTGATCGGGATCGCAGAAAGAATTTTATTTGTGATATTAGGAATCATTTATAGCAATCATGACTGGAGAAAATGTCGGAAAAGGTAGGTGAAATCTTGAAATATTTCAACATTTTTCATTAAAAATCGAAGTGCACTTTGATCAGTCTCCTAAAAGGGAAGGAACAAAGAAAATCTTTGCTTTAATATACATTACTTTTATGATTTTCATAAAAGGACCCTGCAACGCTGAAAGTACTTTTCATCTGGAGGAGATCAGTTACAATCAGATCTGCATATTTTGTGGTTTTTAAGTTAAATGTTTTAAATTTACGTACAGTTTTCAAAACATTGCCCCTTGAATTGACGCCAAGATCTTATTTTGCTAAACAACAATTCATTTTCAGTCATAGCTATAATACGTATTTTAGGGAGTGCATAATTTGGATTTCAAACGATTAAACGACAACAAAGACTTTCCTTAATTTCTAAGGCCGAAAATCATAGTAAACGTAAGCCATTGTGAGAAACAAAACTTGCGTAGAAAAAATCCTTGAATACATAAATTTCATTTATAGGTGCGAAATGCTGCAAAAATTGGTGAAATTTAGATAATAGGTCTAGCAATAAAGCATACTCATCATACCTTACTGCAGAATGTAGATCGGTGTCGCGAAATCTTCAGACTGAAATCGATAAAACGGGGTGAACAAGCGTGAGTGAGGTTTGCAAAGGTCATGTCCATTTTCCGTTATTTATGGGCAAACAGACATAAACCTTGCAGACAAAGAAATTAGGTATATGGGTTTTACGTAGTACAAAGAATTGCAGGCATCAGACCCGTGTGCAGGATTTTCTTCTGGAGGGATGATTTCGTCTAATATAATAAACAAAAACTATACTATTAAATACTCGAACACCCCGAAAACATGCAACCACGCATTTGTGGAAAAAATGCCCCAAAAAACTTCTAAGATATCCAGGCGCGGTACCAGGAGAGAGAGAGAGGGAAGTGGGAAAATGAGAATGTTGTTGTTGTCATCTCATCTGAGTGCATAGAACTTGACAATACCCCCTAAAAGTAGTGATGCTGGTTCCGCAAGCAATTTGAATATGATCTGGAAAATGACCTCAGAGATCATTTGGGGGCCGATTGTGTAAGTAAAAATTATTAGGTACAACAGAAGCCACAGACCACAGAATATAGCCAAACCTGGAAGCCGGATAGCTAAGGTATGTAAGATCACAAGTCCCGAAACAATATAGAAACACCAACTGACAGTTTTTATACCAACATCAACATTGCTAGATCGTTAACGGTTTACACGGTGAACAACCCTTATGAAATGTTCGAACTTCTCTTAATACGTTTAGCTTTGGAGAATTTGTTGTTTTCGATAACTGTTGACTGCTAGACTTCTACCGTTGAGCTTATTTCTTTGTAGGTACCTTCAAAAACTAGAGAACGCTGTATAGCCAGTGTGCAATGCATAACAACATTCCTTTTGGATCTCTGTAATTTGTTTCATAAATGCGTATCGAGTTTAGGGCCGGTCGTATATACCTACATTAAGACCTACACAATTTTAATGACTATAATGACCGTTTGACATTGAAAATACAATCAGGTATAGGCTATAGGCAGCAGCGGTGGCCGCAATGGTAGACTCTTCGGTCTCCTGATCAGTCGCCGAACGCTGCGCGGGTTGGAATCCCGTCCATAGAGAAATTTTTCTCTTGGCTAAGTGATTGTCCATAAGTGGTAGACGGTCTCTGTTGCATGCACACGTGTTTCCTCGCCAGAGTCCGTGTGGCGTCCCCCTTTCCCCTGTTGCTCCCTACAGTATTACGATACCCCATGGGCGTTTAGGCATTAGGCCTTCGTGGTAGTTGGAATATATGGAAAAAAGCTGTAGAATCTCAGGCTCGATACGAAGCTGGTGTCAAAATTGGTGGTTGCTGTTTGAAATCAGAAACTCGACCTCCAAATTATCTCTCGTACGTAGTTCATACTCTCGCTTAGTACCTCGCCTCGTGCTTCGTCTCCTGTCTTTGAGCTATCAACAATGGAGGACGTCGAAGTGTTAGCGAAAACAAGTCTTTGCTTCTGGTATTACTCAATTAATTTGAATGGAAGAAAAGTAAAAAAAGACTAGAAATATGCTTCCATATCATCGTAATACACCCACCAGAACACCCACACTGGCTTGTAAATATCATCTTCTCCTGCGCCGGATGCCACTGATTGTTTTTTGCGCCGAGGATGCTGGCGAACAGTGGCGACGCGTGACTTTTCCTACACCATTACCAAAACCAGATGTGAAAAATCTTATTAAAAAATGTTTATTTTGAACCTCCCAAATATAAGTTTTTGCTTATTTTAGGTATTTTATTTGCACTACCTTTAAATTAAGGTAAACATTCCTGGACTAAGCGTCTGGAGCACTTGATATACCTCATCTTCATATGCTATTACTAATCCAAGCCGTCCGAAAAAACAATCAACGTTTCTAGATGTTCGGAAAATTTTTGATCTTTTTTGGCAATGAATGTTAACAATTCCCTGCAATTTCCTCTATTGTCAGAGTAATTCACTTCAAAATGAACGGTAATTCCTGTTTTGCAAAAAAAACATACGGTATCTAGATGTGTGCTGCCTAAAAGCTTGGTTAAGACACCTTTAGATTCTTTTTTTGCCAAATTGAATTAAACTGGCTACACATCTCACATGTCACATGTAACGGAGAAATATCATGTCTCCTCTTTGGAGCCCTAAAACTATTTAAATCGTTGACTCCGCTGCTGGTCCACCCATTTTTTTCTGTATAAAACAGAAGACATCGCCAACAATACAATATGTTTTTTTGCCACCACATAACTAAGAGTTTCCATATACCCACTTAATTTAAAATATCAAACTACGTTTTTTTATTCCTTTTTAAAATTATCTAAAATAGGTGTTGGTCTTCCATTTTCAATAATCTCATTTTTTCTTAAACATTAGACAAGGAGAATGACTTTTCAAGTAGTTGATCGATTACGCAGCGACACTAATCCATGTTTAATTGCTCGCACACTACAGCCAGTAACCAAAACGGCTACTAACGAGTGAGAAGTAGTCATGTGACGTTCGCGAATGAGTCGTTCAAAATGAACGACTCATCTAAGTGAGCGATGATTGAACGTCTCTTTTGTTACATATGGCTCGTTCAATTGTGCCAAGCGTGTCGTAAGTATGCAGCAACTGAACCGCGAACTGACAACATGGTAACAGTACAGACACTATCTGGGGAACCCAATTGTTTTGTTTTGAGATATCCCACTAAATTTTACTTTGAAATGATGGGATTTGAAAGTAAAAATTGCATTTTGATTCAGAATTCGGTAATTCCTCAAAACCGGACGACATATCCCTTCTTTTTTCGGAAGACAGTATACATTCATTATATTCAATTCCAACCAAAAATAATACAATAACATCGGTAACCCCAAACCCTTCATTTCATTTTCATGGTATGATGTATATTCTCTGACTCAGTGAGTCGTTAGTCGTTACTATAGGCAACACAATACTCTCGTCAGCTTCGAGGCCGGTCGGTAATCGTATCGTTCAAATGAACGACTCCGAACGAACGACTCACTAAAGAGAGATGAACGAAGTGAGCGAGCTCAGAGAAAAGAGTCGTATGTCTCAAGCCTAGTGAGAAGTGAGTTACCAAATCAAAAAATGGTAACAAGCCCACATAATAGTTGCAGCGCCCCACGCACTCGGGCGACCGCGATCAGACACGAGCCGACACCGACGGTCCCCGACAGACTACCAAGTGTATCCATAAATGAAAATGGTAACAACCGACAACCAACTCGAGGCGAGTCAGCTTCATCGTGTTCGCAAAACCTAGACACTATAAGGCGCATTATCTTCGTGAGGCTAATTTGCTATTTACTGAATTACTATTACATATCGCTGTTGGTAAACAAATAAATGAAATTCTTTCACAGTACTTGGTCATAAAATATTTATTTTTAGATTTTTAACTGTTACCAATGGTAAAAATGGTTACATGGACGCTTCGCCACTGCTGGCGAAAGGTTGCCATGCGAGAATTTTTCTTATTTTTTAGTTCGGCTGGAGATCTACACATGTCTTGAGACAATTTCCATACATAGCTTACTTTTTGGCTATTTTTCTAGAAACAGAAACGTTTCTTCTTGCGACCAATCCATTTAAGCAGTTTGAAAGCACACAATCCGCACGGAACAACGTTTGAAACCGGAATGAAGCGAGAGCACAGAGCGCGAATGTAAACACCACTCTTGCGTTTGTCGCGAGGTCTTTTGACTAAATAACCACTACGGACGCGAGGCGAGCAGCGAGCGTCTATTCACACTCCTGTCTCCGTGGCTCGCCTTGCTCCTCGTCTCGCAGCTCGTACGCGAGTGTAAATGAGCTATAAGGAAATCATAACTTGAGGTCTACAGGTCACCGACAAATTGCTTTTTCATATTTTTTTTCTTATAACGTTATTCCAAAAATGTGTGGTTGCCAAGTTTTCGGGTTGTTGGGGTATTACATTGACAACATGTATATGCAGATTACCGTGTATTTGTGTGGAAAAAAATCAGGAGCTAAACCAAAGAGTAGTTATATAACTATTCCTTGGCTGAACCTTGAAAAGTCATATCAGTGACATCACCGTGTGTGATTTTAAATAAAATGGTGGGTGCCTACTAACTGAATACAGTGGATGCGGTATGCTTTTTAGAAAACAGTGGATGCAATAAATGATTTATGAAAAGTGGTGAACGTATACTCTCAGTTTTGGGAAAATGGCAAATGCAAATGCAGTCTGATTTCTGACTACTGTTCATCGAGAATTTTTTTAGAAATGGTGAATGCAATTTGATTTTCAGAAAATTTAATCGTATACTTCCGTCATCCGACAAGAATCTCAACAATCGGGCTGCAAACTTCTAGATGTCACAAACCGCGCTTTCACGTTAGGGCATTATTAGTTGTCTACCAGTCTATATGAATCTCTTTTTTATTTTCTTACCACCATCGTGCTTGTTCATAAATTTTCCCTATTTTTTAAAACGCTTGTTTCTCGATTCGAACAATGAGACAATTAATTTGAAAGATTGTATTCCTTCTACTACCAGGCTTACACCTTAGCGCATTAGCAGTTGCCTGACGTATGTGGTATGTTCTCTGGAGATGACCAATATCGCTAAAACTTGAAAGGGCGCAATACTGGTTGTCTGCCCTTTCTCTTTATGACGATCGTGTCTCTTCGTGAATCTCCGCTACCCCTCGCGGATTCAAACAAATCGGACGGTGAACTTGTGCGCGGGGCATGGCAGCCGGCTCACCAGGATCGGCGACCGGCTCATCGTCTGGCGGCTGTGCCTTTTGAAGCCAGTTTATCGGGATCTTTTGAGTCGGTAGGCGATAGTGCCCTTTTGCGCACTTTTGCCGCGTCTGTTTACAAACCGGCTTTAACTGTTTACACCATACCGTGCTTCTTACATGTGAAATGTGACAGAAACTACGTTGATTTTCTTATTTAATTGTGATTGTGACTTTCGCGGGCTTCTGAGTGGAGGTGTAAAATGATGCTCTGGGAGATTTTCGTTCGGGTATTCCTGGCTCTTGTTGTTACAGGTGAATATCTGTGATGTTTTGATGAATGAAAGTGACTTCATTATGAGCATGATGAGTATAAAAGAGCCCTACAGCCTATCAATATATGCTTATTTTGATAGAAAAAGCTGTTTTTGTGATCGAATTGGGGAGGGTTTTTTTGTGATCGAGAAGGCGAGAAGACAAAGTCAGTACAAACAGTACGCGAACTAATGATGTAAACTTGAATTATGGATATCAAAGCTTGGTGGTAAAAGCTTAAAACTGGAGAAGCATTTCATAGATTGTTCTGATTTCGGTAGGAATGAAGAAAGGCTTGTATTAGCCAGTTCTAGATTTATGAGGTTATGTCTGAATTGAAGTATGAAGCTGAAGCCTGGCGAGTTAGACTGGTAGATCCAGAAAGCAGAAATAATATAAAAGAGAGTTTAGAGAAACCAATTCCATTAATGTGACAGTACTGTCAGTATAAAAGTCTAAGATCACAAACAATAACAGACAACTGAACTTTTATCTAAACTAAAAGCTGTAGCAAATAGATCCAAAGTCAGAGCCTTTGAGACAGAGTGTAAATCGCTACCTAGTATTTATTTTTCTATCCAGCTCATCAATATAAAATATTTCCAGTCTTTTATTTCTCTACCTAGTTCATCAAAAATATTGAAAATCTACCTTCCCGCAGTTAAAGTGCTTAAAAGGAGGTTATTAATGCCCAGCAGAACCAACCTTGGGTCCGAAATGTATCCCTGCGGAGCACTGGTGCATATATTGATTGAGATGCAATAATTATTTTTTCAAGAATATTTCATTAAGTATAGTGATATTGGCAATGACAATGTTTTCATATACCGTCCTGTGAAATATTCGAAATTAAACTTTCTCGAACACAAGCTAAAATTGATTATCATTACATTGTAAATATTCAAACTGTTTAAAAGCTCTAGAATATCGGGATAGACAAAAATGTATTCCAAGGTCTTTCTTTCTTCAGCATTGAATATACCCACACTTTGGATAACGCAGATCAAATTTGTTTAAACAGTTTTTTTAAAGGCATTTTTTTGTCCGGTCAAACTTTTTTCGGGTTTTTTGGAACATTCCCGATATCTTTGTTAAATTTTCTCCAAAGTTGACCATTTTCAAATTATAAGCGATTTAATGCCTGAAAAGCCCTAAAAAACCGGGCATATTCAATGTTTAAATATGATAATTTTTTAAGTCACCAGGTATGTAAATTAAAGTTTAAGCCTTGCTTTACAAGACCCCGAAGAATATTTTGAGATTAATTCATTTAAAGATTTTTTTAAAATTGTCTGTTAAGGCTAAAATTGACGAAGTTTTGGTTATCGTAGTCCTCATTTTCACGTTGGTTGGTTTACGATTTGGGTGTAAAGTGGGAAATTCGATTTTTCTAGGGTGTTCACTTTGCCGGGGTTCCCCCGTGTACTGCAAAATTAAAACGTGACTTGTTGATAACCGTAATTTTCAATAACAGGTAAATTAATTGATTAATATATAATATATTTAAGTTACACTGCTGACCCAGTTTCTTGCTAAAACAAGATACCTTATTCCAGAATATAGAACAGGGTTTCCCAACCTTTTGTTGAGGATTATAAATTATATGTTCATGCTCCCTTTACTTATTCAATAAATACAAAAAACGCGCATTATATAGACTTTTATTTGAAATCTAATAAACTTTAAAAGTTGAAATAAACTAATAAATGTTTATGGAAAAACTTGAATAAAATAAGAGTAGGTACCAACGACGATAAAAGATTGGTAGAGGTACCTATTGTTTTTGCCAGAGCTATCATCAGCTCGCTATCGACATCAAGACGATTTCGCTGTTTAGTTGTAATTAAACTAGAGCAGAAAAGTCTGTCTCACATAAGTAAGTTGAAGAAAAAGGAACTAGTATTCGTAAAGCAAGAGAGGCAAGTGTCGAATTAACAGGCAATCTTGTGATCCAAAATGTCTCCAATGTTAAAAGATGGAAGTCTTCTTTCATGGACGAATCAGCCTTAATTTCTAGAAATTCTTCCTGAACTTCTTCTGGTAATTGTGACACATCGACAACAAATGGATTTCTTGTCATGTGCCACGTTGGTGACTCTGAATTGATGTGTCGATAGTATCGGCTAAATTCGTCTTCCAGCGCTTGCAAATGAGTTTTTATGTCAGCTTTTAAATTTGCGTCCAGTATGTTATTTTTAATTGCTTCTAGCAGCCGAGAAAAAGCTATAACGTTTTCAGAAGACACTTTTTGATTCCAAAGTTGAAGCTTTGATATGAACCCCCGAATATAATCATAATTGCTTATTATCGTGTTGTTTCTGCCCTGAAGTTTCAAGTTTAGCTCATTCAAGGAGTCAAATATGTCAGTTAAATAAGCCAACCTCCATAGAAATGTGTCATCTTTGAACATTGTCAAGAAATCGTGTTTTTCTTTGAACTCAAGAAAAATAATTACCTCTCCTTTCAATTTATAAAGGCGAGCCAACATGTTGCCTTTGGACAGCCAACGTACTTCTGTATGGAACAGAAGAACTTTGTGATCAGAATCGAGATCCTCGCAAAGTAAAGTAAATAACCGACTGTTCAAAAAGCTGCTCTTGATGTAGTTTACCTTATAGACGAGTCCAAAGTCTGGCGTAATTTTTGTGGTAATGTTTTGGAAGTCAAAGCTTGCCGATGAATAATACAATGTGTTCTAACCATTGCGGGATTTTTTCCTTGAGCTTTTTAGCTAAGCCCGATCGTACACCTAGCATTGCAGGTGCGCCATCTGTGCAAAGTCCAATGAGTTTCTTCCAATCCAAATAATTTTTTTCAACAAAATTTGCTGCTGTCAAAGATTCGGAGTACAAAATCTCTTCTTGAATGATATCTCAGCCAATGCAACGAACATAAACTTTACATTGTTAATTATTTGTGACTTTATGTCTGCTGCAATGCCATCGATTCTACGCTTGACTCTGTTATTCGAAAGAGATTTTTTGCTCTACATCTTTACCTAAAATTATCTGCCTGGCTTTAAGGTCACATGGTTTTATTCATTCTTCACCGATAGTATGAAGTTTATTTTGCTTTGCCATCACCTGTGTGATAACTTCCCGATTTATCCAGTCTCATCCGCTTGAGTGATTCTGCTTCAGAAGAAAGAAACTCTTTCCTTCTCAAAACCAGAGTAGGATGTTGTTGCTTCAAATGCCGTTCAAGGCTATTGGGCCACATGCTATCATTACTTAAAACTTAAATACATATCACACACTAAGGCAATTGTAACTCGTCTTTTTCTACGAAGGTAAATCCAAACTTAACGTAATCTTCGGAAAACTTTCTTTTTTTCGATGCCATTTTGCACCTATAACAAAAAAACAAATAAGTGATAAATAAATAATCAAAATACCTACATGTAATATTGTAATTACTAATTATATGCCCATTATTTTATCTTAATAACGTAATGTATTCAACAGTATATTGGCCACTGCGGATTTATATTTTTGTAGGCAGGTTGACGTTATAATAGTAATTTTAAATACATTTGGAATCAATATTAGGTACTTCGTCGTTTAAAAATTATTCCGCCACGCTGGTTTGATTGTGATGTGGTAAAAAAGTCCCAATGGCCCATCTATGAAAGCATCTCCACTCAATCAACAATTTAGTAAATTAAATAAAAATGGTAACTGAAGTTTGTAAATACACAAACTTACCTTTTAGCAGTGAGACAAAATAATTTGATACACTCAAACAGATTTCTCAAGAAAACATGTACATCGAAACGTCAAAGTTTTCGCAAGTTTGTGGGAATGCATGTCACAGATGCTCATCCTCGTCTGGTAGGTACACAATTGTTTTCTAATTGATGAATGTTAAGCGGAGCGCGGCGGGGGCGCGCGCGGATTTCATGTTGTGACTTGTCGAAACTTGTATAAACTGCGATTGACGACGCCGGGTTTTGAAAGAGAGGTTGACAGTATAAGTGAATATGATATTTAATTTCTAATTTTATGCGTGTAAATTAAACATTACATTGTAAGGTTATTTGTTAATGTTGTTTGTTTATTTGTTTTTGTTTTTTCTTTCTAAAATGCAAACGCTTTCCGCCCCCCTTGACATCTTTCTATGCCCCCCTGGTTTTGAACTCCTGATATAGAAGGTTATTGGACATTTCCGTATTTTAAAACTCGAAACCTATATCAAGTCCAAAATATTTCTTTAAAAGTGGTTTGTCTTGGCTCCGATACTGTTCCTTTTACGACCTCCTTTCCTGCACTATCAATCCAATCTACAGCTTTGCTGATGACAGCATTCTACATGCAGGAATTCCGAGCGACAAGCCGATCTCTGCTGGTGAGCTGGAAGAAAGAAGACTAGCAGCGACTTGCTTTCTGACGAGAGACCTGGAGGTTATCACTGCTTGGGGACGCAACAATGTTGTACAGTTTAATGCTTTCAAAACACAGTTACTGTACCTAGCACTCATCCGGTTTCGATGGATGGCCAAGTTCTACCAAAGAACCATTCATTTCGGCTGGTCGGAGTCCAGATCACCGAGGAGTGGATCTGACACGAATACATCTCGTCAAAAGCGGCAGCTGCTAGGCTCTGTGTTTAGGGCTAAGAATTACTTTTCTTCGCATGAGCCCTCACCCTTTTCAAGGCCCAGATAAGACCTAGCCTCGAGTATTGCTCACATGTTTGGGGTGGTGCCACCCCGACTACATTATCCATGCTCGATGCTGTTCAGAGGAGGGCTGTCGGACTGATCGATGACTCTTCTCTAACGGACAGTCTGGGGACCTTTTCGCACCGGCGGGCCATCGGGGATCTAGCTTTTTTCTACCGCTATGCCAATGAGCTTTGCTTCTCTACATAAAAAGGATTTTCCCAGTTCTACTAACCTAAAGCAGTTCAAAAATCAGAGTGACACAGCTTCTTGGTTATCCTCCTTGGCATTTAGGCATTAGGTGTAAAAAAATACGCAGTCTATTGTCTCCTAAAAATTC